TCAAGCTTAGGTTTCGTTTGTTTCACATAAAATGAATGATTTGGAAAACATTATTCTAAAAACGATTGTTTGTATTGCTTAAATAATTAGTCAATAAAAAATGATTTCATTATCGATAACAATTTATGTCTAAATATTTTCGAAAACATTACCATTTTGGATGAACCGGTAGAGACTGATGAGAGGCGCGAAGCGAGAACAAAGAGCATTCGCTTATAATCGAAACATGGTCGGAAGTGAGTACATAGAGGGATCGTCGCCGAGCTTCCAAGCGATGACATAGTCCCAAGCCATCGAGTTGACTAGAGGTGTCAAACCGTTAGACCGACCTTTGAGGAGGTCTCATGGTCGATGCTTGCTTCTTCCCCAACACTTTGATAAAATACTGAGAAGCTCTGCTTGCTTCTTTTCGCTTCTTCCCCATCCCTCATCTGGATCTGCGCGATGCGGCCTTTGCAGACCACAAACGAGGATCGTGGCTCTCATTTGGATTTGGGTGAGGGCTCCAATGCCCTTGCCCTCACGCCATTGCTGAGGAACTGGTGACCCGGCCGACCTTTCCGGGAAGGTGAACAGTGAGGAAGGGGTAGAACGAAAATAAAAAAAAAAGAAAAGAAAGAAATAAAAAAAAATCTCAAAATTCTCAAAACGACGTTGTTTCGATCATTGATGGTCCACGTCAGTACCGACCGTGCCACATAAGATACGGCCAATAATGACTAGACCGCCATCTCAGCGATTTTCGATCAAACTTGGCCAGATGGACTATATTGCAATTTCGTGTAAAGGTTTACGATTAAATTGATCAAATTGGAAAGTTAAAGTTGAATTGGCCACAGTATAATATGTTTAAAACTTTTTTGACAATTTCTCCATTGTTGGACCGTTAGCTTTGGAATAATGGAAGAGGCTACGTGGATAGGTTGAACCACTATAATTTTCTTTTTTGTCAATCGTACCTTTAACTTCTCTTTCTCTCTGAGATTTTTACTTTGCCTCTTTGCAGAGCATGGAAATCGAACCCGCATGTGTACCTGGTCCCCACCCCTCCCTACCAACAAAAGCTGAGTGCCCGCTGGCTAAAACCACTATAAATTGATTTGTAGCCTTTTCTATGCGTTACTCTCTTTATATTTCTGATGATAGAAGATATTTTCTATACGTAGCATATTTTGTCCACAAACATTGTTTCATCCTCAACACATTGTTTTGCAAAAGTTTCAAAAATCCTAAAATAATCTATTCATTCCCTTCTTGATTGTTTAGTTAAGTCAATTTCACACATAAGCATTTTTTTTGTATAAACATTAGGTGAAATGGAGCCAATTGTCCGTTTATTTTTGCCCAAAATTCTTGACCGTCCTTGTACTTTTTTTTGTCCAAAATCATCCAAGCTTTTAGAAAGGTCATTGCTCATCCTTCTATTATGTTGCTACTTTTTCCAGTCGATTTATGCTGATGTGGACAATCGGAACATTGAGTAGAAGCAATATGGCAACCTTGGCCGTTCAAGCTCGAAGCTCACAACCATGGCCATTTGAGCTTGAAGCTTATGACCGCCATGGTAGCTCGAGCTTGAAGCTCGTGGCCATGGTCATTTGAGCTCAATCATCGTCATTTTCGTTATCAACCACCTGTGAATCCCCCAATTACACCATTGATATTGACGACGAAGATGAATTGGCCGAAGCAGAAACACTACAAAACTCAGTCGTTAATCTCTCATCGCTCACTCTCTCCACAACAAAATGCACAAGCTTGCCAATGACCTCCGCCAAGTTGTCCTTGCAGAAGAACTCGTCGCTAGAAACTCTCTCCACCTCCCGGTCGAAGTTGTGCACGAATACGTGCGTCTCCGCTGTGCCGCCCTTCTTGCTCCTGGCCAGCACAGCCGCTATGAATATCGCCGTCATCCTCCCTGGTGCTGCCTCATGGTACTCTTACCATAGATGCAAGTTCCTTGGTGTTGTTTTTTTATGTTTTTAAGTTTTCAACACCATGAGAGTGATGAACTTACCTCAGGCTCTGTTTTGCATGTAAAAGGTCAGATCATGTCAAGCCATGGAATTTCGATTACATTTACTTTATAGTGTGTATATTGCTAGCCAAACAATGATGAGGGGGGGGCTCTCTCTCTGGAGATTGAAGTTGCTGCTGTTGGATCAGATGTTCTACATTGTTGTGCCTGAACTATGATTCAGACATCAGAGCACTGCAAAACGAAGATAAATCTTTTTCTAGGGATATTTGGGGAGAAGTTGATACTCGGTGTCTTGTCCTCGTCTTTTACACCCCCACCCCACCCCCCCCAATTGTGAAACTTAGCATCAACATTAAAAGAATATAAAGAAATGCTGATTCACATCAGCCACCACTTGTTGTATAAAACTACTTATGGTTGATTAATACTAGCTAAGTCTCCTAATAGGACACATGTTCACAGCAAACGTCAAATTACCAATGGAAAATACAACTGCCCAAAACAGGTAAAAAAACCTGGATGTCCCATTTAATTAGGTATGATGAACCAAGAAGTGAAGCATTGTTTGCTTCATTTTCAATCATTGAGAGCTCCTCACAGGTAAGGGAAAATTTCAAATAAGGCCCCAAAGTGGATGAGTTTTCTCAAAAGAGGATCCGAAGTTAACGTTGTCTCGAATAAGGGTCCGAGGTGACCATTTAGTCTCAAATAAGGACCTCAAATCTTCCGGCGACACAACTAGGGGCGTAATCGTCCAAAGATATTTCTTTTTTTATCTGTTCACTGTTCATCTTCTTCATGCTTGCGCTTGGAGGAAAGTTGCAGCTCTTGAGTTCACCTCCATCTTCTTCTTCAACAACAATGGCGTCCTCAAGCTCACCAACGAGGCGAGTCACCTGATGGGCCACGCTTTCTACTACTCCCGTTCCAGTTCAAAAACCCAAAGGGTGGCGACGTCTCCTCCTTCGTTTTCATTGCAGTCACCGAGCGCTCGAATCTCAACGGCCATGGCCTCACCTTTGCCGTCTCTGCTACCATGGACCTCTGAGCCCTGCCCAGCCAATATCTGGGCCTCCTCAACGCCAGCAACGTCAGTTCTTCAACTACCTCATCACCATCGAGCTCGACGCCGTCAGAACTTCAAGTTCTAGATCTGAATCTGAAGAGTGGGAAGGCGATCAGGCGTGGATTGATTACGAATCGGGATGACATCGGATCTCCCCGTACCTGATTCGACCCATTTTCTGCGTTCCCCTTGTTTTCCTTGCCTCCGTTAAGTGTTTGCCTTCCTCGGAGAACCAATCTGGTTCATGAACTTGAGTGGAGTCTTCGCGTCGATGCTCGCGAGACCTCGGAGCAGTCCCCGCGGCCTCGGGCTCGAAGTCTTTCGATTTTGGTTCGCCGGCGTCGAGGCCTTCCATGAGCTCCCACACATTGATGACTTCAAGGCTTCCTCGCCGCGAGCCGGCGACCCTCCCTTCAATCTTCTGCTCTATACGGTGATTTCTTGTTGCTGCGAGGGCGTCGGTGGCGAAGGCAACCCTCGCTCGTCGCTGTCTAGCCTGAGCATGCCGTAAGTGCTGGAGGTGAGGGAGACCACATGGACAGGATGGGTCGTGTGGCCGCCATTGATGACCTGACCCTGACCATGACCATGACGAGGATGATGCTCACGATCTTGCTCCCTGAAGAAGATGAACAGTAAAAAAAGGAAAAGAAAAAGAAACAAAAAAAAAAAAGAAATGGCTTTGGACAAAAATACCCTTGCTCGTGCCACCGGAATAAGCACATGCTCGCCGACCGGCGAAGATTTGACCGGTCGGTAAGCTCAGACCCCTGTTTGAGAAAAAAATTATCACTTCAGACCCCTATTTGAAACTCAATAATCACTTTAGACCCTTATTTGAGACAACGTTCACTTTGGGTCCTCTTTTGAGAAAACTCATCCACTTTGGGGCCTTATTTGAAATTTTCCCCACAGGTAATGAAGAGAGTGGATATTCATTAAAATGACCATTATTCTAACCTTAGAATATTCTTACAGATGAACTCTTCATGAGAAGATGCTCAATATCCTGTGTAGAAATTCTTGTGCGCTCAGCATCAACATTCATGGGAATGGTTCAATCCTCAGATGGTCGACTGCAAAAATTTACATCGCTGTTCTCCATCAAAGCTGTAAACTTTCTAATCTTAAGTCAGCTCAACAAATACACATAATTCTTGTAATACCCCAACTAACAGATGCACAACACACCGGCTCATGATTACACTCAATCGAGCAGTCCTCAGAAGCATAGCAACATAACTAGACTAGGCTTTCAAATAGTCAGACAATTGCGAGAAAGCAGACCCTTAAACAGCTATTACCATATGAAGCTGGAGCTTGAGCTCATACTTAACTATGCAAAGATAAATCACACGATTACATTCACCTGAACACCAACTGCCATATTATTCGTACCTGTTCTTCAGCGATTGGCTGGTGATCCAGAGCTTGAGTTCAGCCCCATGCCTCCCGCCACCGATGGAGTTAATGAATGCAGCCATCGGAACCTCATGTAGCACCAAAGTCCTCCAGCTGAACGGCACTGAAGAAGAAAATGTGCACGAGAGTGAAAAGTGCCACTGAAGAAGTACTTGAAGCTCATGGACATCGAACTTGAAGCTTGCGAAGGACTTGAAGCTTGCAGACGAAGAACTTCAAACTCGCCGACGACGGAACCTGGGAAAGGAGAGACAACAGCGAATGACAGACTTAAAGCTTGCGAGGAGGGAGCGAGGATTGGGCGCAGAGTCGCCGAGGATCGAGCGACAGCGATTTGCTTGAGCAGCGCGAGAGAGGAACACAGTCTTGCTCTCTTTTTTGCCGACAGCGATTTGCTGGAGCAAGACAGTCTTGCTCTCTCTTTTCTTCTTATTATTTTCCTGGTTCTGCGGAAGGAAATAATAAGATGAGTTGAGGTCTCCTGGGCCTAAATTTCTCTTAAGAAAGTCCCTTTTGTTATAGATGGTGAAGGATGTAATATCCCCAACTTCACCACCGAAGTTGACACACACGCAGCATATGGAGATTCTCAGTAAGATGGGGAATTTTAATGAGATTTTCCTTGGTTGCACGTTTTAGAATCGGTTCATTATCTCTCTTCACTAGAATAAAGCAGAAATAGAAAGCAAATAAAGCGGAAGAAACAGCAATGATCTATGAATAGGAAGAAGACGCACCATTTTCTTTAGAGGATCCCCTGTTTCTGTTTTAGATTCAGTTGTTTCAATTTCAGAGTCTAATGCTTGCTTCGTTCCATTTACAATCATCTCTCTGTAAGACTCCCAAGTGACGATATGTGGATTTGGACCACTGTCAAGTAACTTCCCACAACATATCACGTCTATCCGGCACTCATTTGATATTTTTGAGCTCAATGCATCAAAAATCATTTCCATTGATCTGCACTGATAAAGTAACAACTGCTGCAAAAACTCTAATTCGTCAATGCCCTCGACAACCTGCAGGCTCTTGCACCAGTGAATATCTAACAACTTCAGGTTCTTCAAGTTTGACAAACCGCCTACCCTTTTTAATGAAATGCAATATCCAACGGAAAATTTTTCCAATGATCCCAAAGTAGAAACAAATTGAATATCTTGTACCTCTGGGCACCCCCACAGACGGAATTCTTTAAGCATCTTTGGGGAGCTTGGGACAAGGAATGCTCCCCTCCAACGATCAACCAACTCGGGAGCTTGTAGCTCATTACACCCCAACTCCTCTGGCAAACAAACTAAACTCTTGGAAGATTTGCAGTCCTGGATACACGATCTCTCCGACGATTCTAAGACATCGATAAATTGAACATCACATTGCTCGTGCACCTTTTTTTCTCTCAATTTTCTCAAACTTGATGAAACGAATACAGTCTCATTTTCCAATGGAGGAAGCCCGCCGAGATATACTTGTTTCACTCGAGTACGATAGAGCTCTAAAACTATCAAGTTTGATGGAAGTTGTTTGAGGGTTTGCAAGTCTAGTCCACATAGTATAAGCCCTTTCAATAGAAAAAGGGAACCCAACTCTGTAGTTGGGGCATGGACATTCGATAAGCTAAAGTTTAGCTTGCTCAGTCTAGATAACCTCCCAATCCATCTCAAGTCGCAAGTTTGAATTAAATTTGATGTGGTGGACCCACCGTTAGAGCCATCAGATAGGAGAAGTTCAACTAGATTCGTAAGGTATGAAAGGTTAGGGACAGTCAGCAACGAAGTAGAACTCAGCCGTAGAGTGGTCAAACTTCTGGGGAGCTTCGGCAACTCTTGTATCCCATGGCATTGAGCCAAGTCCAGTGTTTGGAGGTGAAGAAACTTACTCATTGTACTGGGTAATTCCATAGTTGGTGTGCGTGATACATTGGCAGTTGATTGGCTTGGTAGTCTACCAATGGAATCTAGTAATCTTGTAATTCTTGTGAATGATACATCCAGATGCGTTAAGGACACTAATTTCGAAACTGAGTCAGGGAGTTCACTCAAGTCACGACACCACCTAAGAGAGAGGTGTCGAAGATTCTGTAGCTCTCCAATTTGTTCAGGCAATTTTCTAAGTGCCGAACAAAACTCAATACTCAAATCAGTTAGCCACCTCAGTTTCCCAATAGAACAGTCAATTTCCACCAAAGACGGACATTCAGAAATAGTCAACTTTTCTAAAACTGAGAACTCGGGAAAGGTTGGTTTCCTATGTATGGAACCAATACATAGAAGAGTAAGAACCTTCAACTTCCTTGCCCCCTACAAAAGCCAATCAAACATTAGGGACGAACCAAAAATGAATGTGGATTTAGGTTACCAATTTGTATGGTATGTCATCTGATCCTCTCACTAAATGAGAAAATTAGATTATAACTCTGTTAAATTTAGTCTTCAATTGAATGAGAAAATTAGACTAAGAGGAAAACTGGCATACCTTGATTAGGCTCTCGACCTCATCTTCTGTTAAATCAAGGTAAGAAATATTCACCACAACCACGTTTTCTAGATGCAACAAATTAGTTGCCTCAAAACATTGATGATGAAAGGGAGAATATTGCAAACTGATCCATTTCAACTCGGGAAGACATCCCGTAAAGTCGCCTTGGAAGATTACACCATACAACCAAAGAAACCGTATACGTGGGAACCGTTTAATTTGCTTTGCAGTCATAGTATGTTGAAACAAACACCCCGATGGCAAAGAGAGTGCTTGAACACTTCCCTTGATCTGCCAATGACATTGAGGAGGAGAAGAAATTTGTCAATACCCCACCATTTCATTTAGAAGAGAAGAAAAAATGAAACAGAAGAGTAGCTCCGAATTCAATAACGTGAATCCTCAATTAAGAACCACGTAAGCAATTTTCTATTCAAATTTGGCCATACTTTACCTCTGTTGATCTTATTTCACAAATGATGTCATCTCTATCCCACATCCTGGTACACTCTTGTTTAGCAATTGCCCTTCCAAGATCTCTAAACTGATCATGCATCTCAAATCTATCATCCTCTAAAACCTTTATCATGCACCTCTTAATAAGGACATCAATGGCATCCTCTGGGCCAAACCCACAATCTTCCCACACATACATTGGATTAGTCTTATTCTGACCGATGAAAAAGCATGCAATATCGAGAAATATTTGTTGTTGATCCGGCTCTAATGCATCATAGCTAATCCATAGCTTTCCCAAGACATCCTTATGAGGTGTTTTCCTTAGCTTCTCTAGCCTCTCTTTCCATATTCTTTTCTTTTCATGACCAAAAAGCGATGAACCTATTGCTAGAAGAGCTAAAGGTAGTCCACCAGTAGTAGAGACAATATCGTATGAAAGAGTGTAGTAATTGGCTGGAGGAGAGTTGTCATCGAAGGCATGCCTACTAAAAAGTTGGAGTGCGTCTTTGTCGCTCAACCTCTCCATTTCATAAGGCAAGATTTCATACTTAAACCCCCGGATTTTCGTAACGCTTTTGTCTCTAGTGGTAACAAGTATCCTAGTACCAGGATACAAAGAATTCACTCCGATTAGTTTTTGGATTTGGTTGCCCTCACTGACATCATCCAATACAATGAGCATCTTCTTGTTGCAAATTGTTTCTCCAATCATATTGATCCCATGATCAATGTTATCGATGTTACAAGTCACTCTAGAGTAAGAGATATCGGACAATAATTTTTCTTGCAAGTTGACTAAGCCCTTGGTTTTTGCCGTTTCCCTCACGTCATCCAGAAAGCTGCAGTTTTTCCCAAAGCGAGGACATAGTTGGTTGAAGATAATCTTTGCAAGTGTTGTTTTACCAATGCCACCCATCCCATAGATTCCAATGAGCCGCACACCACCGAAGTCGATGTCTAATAAATTGTTTATGGCTGCTATTCGATCCTCCATTCCTACTAAATCTTCGGTCACTTGTCTTTGTTTTGTCTTGAGTCTAACCACAACCTCGTTAACAACCGACTTGATAAGATCCCCATAGCTGCCACAAAGTTGAACAATTGAGAAAAGGTGACAAATTTGCATGTTGACCAACCAGCTACTAAGCAACCAGGTGGGAACGCGATCAAGTTTAGGATATATAACAATTCAATGTTACCCCCAAAGCTTTAGGAACATGATGAATTACAAACTTGAACATCCATTACTAGTTTAAGTTAAAGGAATAGAGGAAGAGAAATGTTTGATCTTTATATCAAGTAGAAGAATAAAAAATTCTGGCAAAAGAGAATAAAAATATAAACGTTTGATAAATTACTGTAATGGTAGATTTACTTAATTCTTTCGACGTGGAAAAGAACTTTGCAAAGGCAACAGTTCCTTAACCAAGTTCTCTTAACCAAGTTCTCTAGCATACAATAGGAATCTTAATACATACATGGATTAATTTAGTATATAAAAGATGAAACAAAGCCAATTTTTATACGATGGAAATTATGTGAAAAACAAAATTATAATAACCCTATTAAGTCAGAAAAAAATTTAGAAATCTCGTGATTTAAAAAAATAAAAGAAAATTTTGAAACTTTTTGTTTAAATTAAGGGAAATTAAAGTTGGAATATAATTAACGAATTTCTATAAGACCTGTACAAAATAATTTTCACAATCATGACTAGATTGTTACCCTGGATATTTCTCCAGCTCCCATCCCTTGGTGCTATCAACTTCTTTGAGAGCTTGCCGCCATGTCTCTACATCGTTGGAGCTAAACTTCTTCTTCTTATCCTCCATCTTTTGCTCCAAATTTGATATGGCCTCGTTGTACAATGTGGTTTTTAGTTTCACGTCATCGGGTTTCACGTCGTAGAAGATGGGCAATATGACCTTCTTTCCATCTTCTTTAGATTTAGAGGTGTTCTCCACCATGTTTGCAAGTTCACGGAGGCACCATTGACTTGAAGCGTAATTTTTGGAGAAGATGGGTATGTAGAGCTTGGAATCGTCAATTGCTCGCAAAAGGTTGCCACTAATTCTATCACCTGGTTGAAGCTCTTCATCATCGATGAAAACACGAATCCTGGCATCTACCAAGGCATGGTAGAGGCTATTGGTGAATCCACGACGAGTATCGAACCCTCTGAAACTCAAGAATACTTGGTACTCACCTCCTAATATATTGCTAGAGCACGTTCCTATCTCCGAGTTCGCCATAAGAGCTCACTTCGCACTTAGCAAGGCTCTCTCTCTCTATCTCTAATAGGCACTGTTGAAATACTTCATCTGGTACGTTATGACAGGTATGGGAAAAATCGCACAAAGCTCAAGATGTTTTGGGGTTCTTGAATGCAAGTCGAAGACTTTAATGTTAAAGTCATTTTTTTTTTTTTGGTCTGTGATGTTAAAGTCACGACGAAGACTTTTGAGACTTCTAGAAACGGTCGATGTTTAATTTAACCTGCTCCGAAGTCTTTGAGAGGACGGCGTGCTTTGGGAACGTCATCCAACGTTTTGTCCTATAATTTACCTGAAAGCTTCACCTTCCGTATCGCATCCGCCATCTATCTCACCGAACGTGTCCTCCACATCATGTCATGTCTTTTGGGTCCACTGTTATTGGTGGCCGTTCATAATAAAAAGAGCCAATAACACAAAAAATTCAAAATTGATATATATATATATATATATATATATATATATATGATAAATTCATTCTATTGACACCTAAATTTTATCTAGTCATAAAAAAAATTTAGGGATTAATTTTTAACCCCTAAACAAAAATATTTTCATTAAACTAATTGACATATAGACTTTAGGTGCATTTACATTAATAAGGCATATTAGAACATGCTCTCCTTGTTTAAATTAAAAAAAAATTAAAAAATTAATTAATTAGAAAAAAATTAATTAAAAAAAAATTTCGAAAAAAGGGGCTGACCAGCATTATTCAATGCTGGCCAGCGGAGCGCCACTCTCGTAAAAGAATAATAAATTAAAAAAAAAGGGGGGATGACTAGCATTGAATAACGCTTGTCACGCGTGAACCTTCCCCGGCGTTATTCAATGCTTCTGGGAAAAGAAGAACGAAGCAGAAGGTAGAAGAGGAAGCAGAAGCAGAAGCGACAAGGCGGAAGGAATAGGGCGCGTCGAGGGCGGCGCAGTGCTTCCGGCCTACATCGAGCAGATCTGCAGCCGTTTTAGCCGAAGATGGACCTGATTTGGTCCCAAGAAGGAGACGCGGCTGCTGGCATAAGCACAAATGGAGAAGACGTTATGACCAAAGAGGTCTTTGAGCTGGAAACGGAATGGCGAGTGTCGCCGGGGGGAAAGCCGAGAGGAAGAGATACTCCTCTTTCTCTCGGCGTTAAAAGGGAGACCGAGGGAGAGAGAACAGGGGGCCATCGGAGAGAACAGAGAGAGAGAGAGTCCCCGGAGAGCGAGTGAGAGTCCCCGGAGACCGAGAGCGTGAGAGAGATCCAAGAGAGAGAGAACTCGGCCACATCCCCCGGCACTCGTCGGTTGGTGTCGTGGCCGAGAATCGCCCTTCCTTCCCCTCACGTAATTTTTTTGGTAATTTTAGATCCGAGTTTCCGCCAAGTTTTGCTTGATTTGGAGGGTCGATTTTTCGAGGATCTCGGCTCGGAAGCGCGCGAGGTGACCGGACATAGTCCGATCTGTCAAACTCGTCCTCATCCGTCGCTGCCGAGCCAAGTAAGGAACTCCGTCGATCCCCTTGTTTTGCCCGAACCGTGCTCTGTTTTTGGGTCTTGGCTGACCAGGGCTGAGACTCGCCGGCGCCCGACCGTACGCGGTTTCGAGCGTCGGCGAGCCTTCCCCGGCTGTCATGGTTGTTGTCCTTAATGCTGTGTTCTTTGTGGTTGTGTATTTGAGCCTCAGCTTGCTCGTTTTTTTTATCCTTCGATTGACACCCGCCACGCGTTTGCTGAAATGCATCAACTAGATCCGTAAACTTTTCTCTCGAGTCCGGGTTGTTGAAATGCCAGGACGTACGTTGGTTTATGATGCGTGAAGATGGGTTGGGTTGTATGATTCCCCGAACGGCACGGCTCATGACAAATGCCCTTGTTGTTCCATGTTTGTGCTTTTTTGTTGCTCCGTCTTCGGTGTTCTCTGATGATGTAGCTGCGCATGTGATGTGTTTGGCTGGTCATTGCGACGGACGATGGTAAAACTCATTAACTCTAATGTTTGGTTTGGTAGCGCGAGATAGTGTCGTTCTTGTTGAGCATAGGACGTTATTATTGTTGTTGAAGTTCTGGTATTTTAGAACAAATGCGTAGCGTTAAAAATTTCTGGGTAGCAAGAGTGCGAAGCAAAAGTTGGCATTCTGGGCTTCATGTATTAGCTTCTGGGCAATGGGAAGAAGACGTCCAGAAAAGAAAAAAAAGAGGAAAAAGAAGCGGAAGAAAAAAGGGGGAGGAAAAGTCAAGAGGAGAAGGCGTCCAAGAAAAAAAAAAGTAGAAAAGAAAAGAAAAAACAGGAGAGAAGGAAAAAGTAAAAGAAAAGAAGGAAAATAGAAGAAATAAAAAAAATCAGAAAAGAAAAAGGGATCGGCGGCCGGTGGCCGGTAGGGTTTCCGGCGATTCGGGTCCGCAGCCGCAAGTCGGGTCGGCGGCCGGTGACCGGGTCGGGTGCACGAGTCGCAATCGGGTAGGGTTTAGTTAGTAATTGAGCCGATTTTATGCTTATTTGGCGTTTTGATATTTTGGGCCTTTTAGTTATTAGAGTGGGTTTTATTAGGTCTTGGGCCTTTCGCGGATAGGCCGAAATTGGGATTTGGGCTATAGTGTTGTTCAGGTTTTTATTTATAGTGGGCTGGGCCTTTGTTCTTTTTAAAAAAGAAAAAAATTCGGGCTGGGCCTCTTTTTCTTTTTTTATTTATTTTACTTGCCAGACCGGGCTCAATAAATGAACCCGGTCCGGTTGTGGACCCGGGCCGGCGCGCCCGGGTCAGTCCCGAGCCGGTTCGGATGTGGAGATCCGACCCGGATCCGATTTTTATATTTTTATATTATTTATTATTTTAATATTAAAAAAATTTTAAAAAAAATTCGAAAATCAAAAATTGGAAATTGGGTTTTAAAATTGTTTTTCTCTCCTTTTTTGTGTGATTAGCTTATGTTTGATTGCACCTCGTTTGATTCGCACGCTTTGAATTGTGCGTTTAACTTAACTTCGCATGTGGCCAATTATGCATGTTGGGTTTAGATATTAATTGTGGCTTCCCTTAGCTTAGTTAGAAGTGGAATTTTGAGACTCCCAATTAGTGTGAACACGTTAGGTGGTGAATTGAGCAAGATTAGGTACCGAAATGGCACTAATTGATTAATTAGTGTAATCAAGTCCCCGTGCCCATTGAATCTCTGGTTCGTAGAAGTAAAGCATTTCTCCCGTGCTTTACTTGGGTGTCTAATCGACCCACCAAAAACTGATTAGTGGCGACTCTTAGATGAAATTGATTTGCATGTTAACAACTTAAACTTAAGTCGCGAATTGGTATGGGCTTGGGAGAGCTCGAGCTAGGTTTAACTTAGTAATCCATTAGCCTAACCCCTTAGGCGGCGGGGCTGGTTCGGGGAGGTCGCAACACACTCTAAATTAATTTTTTGACAATCAAAAACTCAAATTTAATATACATGTGATAACTAAAAACCCGAAACTGATACCTTTGTGACAAATTTACCCTTCATTATTTTTCATTAAATTTGATTAATACCACGAAAAATCATAAATCAATACACTTATGACAAACGGAGACTAAAACTCTAAACTGATACAACTATGAAAAATTTATCCCAAACTAATTTTTTAATCACCAAAAACCCAAACCGGTACATTTGTGATAATTTTACTCTCTGTTAGTTTCAGTTAAATTTTACCGTCAAATTTCTTTGTTAGATGACACGTGATAGTTGATGGGTGTACCAGTTCGGGGTGAGGTGTACCACTTTGTGATTTTTCGTGGTATTAATCTAATTCAATAGAGGGTAAATTTGTCATAAATGTATCAATTTAGGATTTTTGGTGATCAAAAAATTAGTTTGAGGTAAATTTGTCACAGGTATACCAGTTTGAGATTTTTGGGGATCAAAAAATTAGTTTAAAGTAAATTTATCACATGTGTACTAATTTGGAGTTTTTCATAGTATTAACCCTAACCCTAATAGAAATGGACGTACATATAACTTTTTCTATTCTACCTTCTCCTCTAATTTTTTTTCATTCAAGCTAATCATTAAAGTTTTTGAAATCGAGTCAATGTAGTCCTACAATTTATTGAAATTCAACTCCACGTGTTTGTTATTATCGTGGCATAACAGATCCGTGAAAAATCATGCATGATTGATGTGGAGTGACCAACTTGATTAAATTTGATTATTTTTTCGAAAAAACTTTTGTCCTTTTCTCTTTCCTTGTTTTCTTCTTCTTCTCTGTTCACCTATTCTCACCACGATTGGTCACTCTGCAATGCTGGCCATCACTATACCGGAGAGCATTTTGTCATCCCTGGTGTGGTCCATCGTGCCTCACCTCCGTCACTGCCAATGTCGAACCCTTCCGCGTAGCCATCGCTATCGACATCATTCCATTAAGCCTCGTCAACCTCTCTCTCTCTCTGCACGCGACCTTCCATTGATGGAGCTGCTCGAGCTCAGATCTGGGTCGCACAACATGGCCTCATATCTGAACGGCTAATTTGCGATGTCCACATAGGTGTCCTGGTCGACATACTAAATGGCTAGTTAATGGTGTTAACTGCAACATCAACAATTTCCCTCAATATTTATTGAGTCAAATTTAAAAAGTATAAGGACTAAATTGAAACGCAAAAGTTTCTTGGACAAAATTGAGTACTAAGGAAAAATTAAGTAACCACCCATGCTATTACCCAAAACAAAAGAAGAAAATACGAATGATCAAGATCGTTGATTAGTACATAAGTGAGAGAGGTATAAATTGACAGAGAAATGACCTCCATGGGCACCATATTCGCAGAGAAATGGCCGTGAATAATATATGCTTTACTTCTAACATTAGCTCATCCGATGCAACTGAGTGATGTCAAGATGCTATTCTTTTAATTCGTTGACATTACCCTCATGAGAACGGGTGGAAACGTTTTCTTCAATTACAAAAAAAACCAATCTTCGATTTTCACCCCAAGTACTAATTTCACATCTGCTAATTCCGAAGTCTATCTACACTTCGCAACAAGAGGTTTAAAAAGATCTACATTTTGCACAATCTAATTTCCATTGTTTGTTAGACTCAAAGATGTAGAATTTAGACATTTTTTCGACATCAAGGCGGAAAATGCA